ATTTTTTTATTATTTTTATATATAGATGCATTTTTTTACTAGCTAGCATCAAAATATCAAAATTCAGTTTGACCAAAAAGGTGTTACCAACGTTTGGAAACACATCGATAAAATGAAATAAAAAGAATTAAGAATTAAAAAAATAAATAAATGAACTGGGGGGAAAAAAGGAAAAAGGAAATCCAAAAAACTTATGAAAAGGAGGAATTAAAAGATAGTAAGGCATAACATATGGGTACTAATTATACTATGCTTTCGAGTGGCATACCATGCAATATCCCAAGCGTCGATCACTTGTATTTTCTAGTATGTATAAGCATTGTATAAGCTATGTATAGCTATTTTGATCCTCACCTACAAATGCGTAGATTCAACGCGCGTCGTATGATGGAAAGGAAGAGCAAAAGAGCGAATATAAAACGGTTTTTCTGCAATCTGATTGGCTGTATTTTCTATAGTGTGACTATAAAGTAAAATGTAATTTATTCTTTTTGCTCAAACTTCGAACTGAAAATTCAAGATTGATTGACGTGTCGATCATATCGGGTAAGCTAAAAGAAAGAGTAATGCTTTATCCTTACTATACAAGTATATATGCGCTATTAATTATGCCCTACTGTTTCTATGGGTTCAATTCCTATCCATGCAAATAAATTCACCTGTTAGTTCTCTTCTCTCCTACTAGAGTTTTCTCCTGGCTCTCCAGTTTTCCTCGACTTCCCTCTGCAAAAATGAAAACCTAAAAATTCCAATAGTTTACTACCTATATCAATGACGAATAATATTTATTCATGAAATATAGCGGGGAGGTTGAAAGGAAAATCTTCAGTATAAATTAAATAGTTTTACGAAATAAGATGGCGAATTTTTCTCTCAAAAATAGTTTGGAAATGCTACCAAATTTATTCTAAATCACTGAAAAACCAGCAGAAAAAGTTATAACATTTGCCAAAGAAGAACTCGACACTTGTTAATCAGCAGTAAATTTAGCAGTTTCTTCACGATACAGTAATTTTCATAACCAATGCCATGCATCTGAAGATTTGAATGTGAAAAAAAAANGAATCTAGAGTACGTGTCAACAAAATGACGTCACAAATTGATATTAATTTTCTCACATATCTCAAGAAATAAGCTTTTGAAACAAATTTCATTACGATATATTTATTATTACTAACAAACAATACATTTTAGACGATGAAATGTTTTCGTGTCATATGCACTTTAAACCAACTTTTAATTACAGTTTTTAATTACAGTTGGGCAACGTTTATCGATTACTTTCATTAAGACACAGAAAATAACTATTTATTCGTAATAATTGTTATTTTTAAAAACAGTTCCCATCGTAGATTCAGAATTAAGGAAAAATAATCGAGGTTTGGTTTCCATCAACTTCAGTAAGTCTTTTGGCACGTGTACAATAAAGAAAATTGTTGACTTTAGCCAAATTTGTTGACTTTACACGAACTCATTTCAACATGAACTTACAAACTCATGTCCAAATTTTACAAATAAAACAGCAGATGAATTTAAGAATAAATGTTTTTATGTGATGCTGAGCTGGAACAAGTCTATAATACGGGAAAGCCGGCAAAACCGAGGGAAAATATGTTTAGTTTAAACTCTATTCTTGGATTATTCATACTCAATTAAAATTTACATAAAATCCATTCAGCTGCTTTCATTTATAAACATGGTCTAATTCAAACTGTTTAGTGAAAATAATATATATTCAGTGAAAATATCCTTGTATCGGTATTGCAGTTTACGCGCTTTGCTGATCCCATACGAATCATATCTATCCCTTTAGATGGGCGCCTTTGATAGTTGGAATGGGATCGAGATGCCGCTAAGGTTCTAGTAAATTATAAAACATAAACAGCGGATTCCTTTCGTTCTGGAACCACTCCGGGACTGACTCAAAAACAACTGCTGTTTTCAATGACTCGTAATGATTGACATTCTTGATTACTGAAAGGAAGACGTCACCAGGAAAGGCTTATAACGTTTTAATGAATATCTCGACTTTCATTTATAAGCTCATTACTGACTCATCAACACGCTCTACTGACACCATGTCTTGGKGGATGAGCTATTTGTGGGTTTTCKGGTTGTTTTATCAAGTTCTTCATTCAACATCATTGTTGGGTAAGTATTTGATTTTTCTTTCTTTTTTTTTCTTTTCTTTTTTTCGCTGAGAGAGTGTCATTTGTGGATTTTTCGGCTTTGTTTCTATCGGCATGATCGAGGCAGTTCACTGAGGATTTCGGTTTTTCGGCTCCGTCTTCGAGATAGTGTTTGGTGGTCGACTACCAGGTCAATTTGCTTTAGAAAGCTTTTAATTTTAGGGCAATGTCTTTTGGATTTTGTATTGCACAAGACTGACTTATGCCTATGTTCAATCGTCAGAGTTGTAGGCAAAGGCATTCAAAGGAGATCAATTTAGCCAATGGCAATTAAACTGAAATTGAATTAAATGAAAAATGATAATGATAATGAATTGCAATTCGTATCCATGAAAGTAAATTTACTTATTAGTTCTCTTCTTTCCTACTAGAGTTTTCTCAAATTTTTACAAATTTCTATCATTTGCTAACTACCTATAACAATGACGAATGATATCCATTTATGAAATAACTGGAGGTTGAAAGGGAAGTCTTCAGAACTAATTAAATAATTTTACAAAATAAAAAAACTTTCAAACGTGATCTTTGCAAATAGTGGATGGGAGATTTTTGTCTTCTGCCAAAATTTTCAAAACATTTTAGATGCACTAAACTAACTAAACTACCAAGCAATATCATGCTGGACAAAAGCCACCAAATGTTCAAGCAAATATATATTAAGAAAGTTAGGAAATTCACAGTATGCAATTAACTTCTAAAAGCCAACCATCGACAGATACTTTTTGCATTCTTCAATATATGCCTTGACTCATTCCGATAGCATGGCATAATTTAAGGACTATAACTTATATAATATTGGATATTTTAAGGCATTTTTAGTCAGTTGAATCCAAAGGATTAATCAAAATACAACGTTTAATGATAGTGATAGGCAGCGTTCGTCTGTGCTTGTAAAATTATAAAGGTTTTATAAGAATCATTATTTTGTTGTGAGCTATTCTTCCCAGCTAGAGATGGCAGTATCGTATTGGCTAGTGAGCGCGAAGGAATCAGCAGAAGACAGAAAATAAAAGGAAAAAGGGAATTTTTTCTTAATTAGCGAAGTATAATTGAGTTTTACCAATAATTGAAGTTGTTATAAATATTATTATCACATCTACGGAAAAAAATATCGAAGCTGAATGGCTGTGAAAAGTGTAATTCCGTACAAAAAGTGCAAAAATCTTTAGTACTAGTGCAAAAAAAACGTAATTCAGTTTTTTATTGACAAAAAAACGATAGGAATATGAATTTGCCAATCAGATTATAGTAGTTGCTATAGTAGTTTCCATAACACACCAGTCTTTCTTCTCTAGAAATTCAAGATAGAAGATTTTTTCTCTCAAAAAAGGCTTTGAAAATTGCTACCAAATTTACTCTAAATCGCTTAAAAACCAGCAGAAAAAGTTCACAATTGTCAAAGAAGAAATCGATACTTGTTAATTGGGAATTAGCAACCAAATAAAACAACATTTGAACAATTTTACAGCAGTTTCAACTACTTGCCAGAAAAATTGAAACTGGAATAAACAAGAACTTTTCGGTTGCTTTATCCGTCAAAAGGTAACTAAAATCAAACCGTTGGATAATGATAGTAGGTGTATTCAGCTTTGCCTTTACAGTAATCAGGAAAATAATTATATTAAACAAGAGAGCATAAATATGAGAGGGAAACTTTTTAATAACGCGCGCGCCATGTAAATTCCCTGTTGAACTATTTTTAGTAACTGGATGCAGTGATAAAAACAAAAAACGGAAAGAGCGAACGAGCGCAAGTTGATGACGCACGGAAGTAGTATAAGGCGAAATTTAAACTGCATCCGGTTACTAAAAATAGCCCAAACGGAATTCACATGGCGCACGCGTTATTAAGGAGTTTCCCTCTCATATTTATGCTCTCTTGATTAAAAACATATGCAATATTAATAAGAAAAAAAAGATAAAATAAGAAAAATAAGAAAAATAAAGATATTTGATATTAAGGTATCAGGGTACCTCAAAATTGCTATGAAAGATTGATTTTTAGGTTTTTACATTTTCCGAGAGAATGCACAAAAATAATTTTCCAATAGCGTTTTTTAATAAAAAGAAATAAACGAAAAACGACTTTTTACCCTTTATAGTTTTCGATTTAGTGTTGACATCACTTGTCAACGATTTGTCGTTACGTCTATCAGCCACTGTTGTTTGATCTTGCACGCTTTTGGACATTCGTTTTGATTTTCTGCTGTCGCTTGCTTTTCTCTTTAGTTAGGAATACATTTAAGAATAAAAAGTATGCCCTAAGCGAACGAAAAGTCTGAGCTTGAATAATAGCGATGAATGCCTAAAAAAACACCATTTAGTGGTACTGAAAAACCAAAGTTCAGTTCGAAATTTATCTGGACTTCCCGCCCAGAATAACAATGATAAAATAACTCGATCTCGGTTTCTCATTACTTTATCTGTCCTCGGGGACACATTTTGGTGTCCGTAATCTCATCATGTCCACAAAGGTCCTTCTTGGCTTGAAAACCAAAGTAGCGTTTTTTTGGAAGCTAAGTGATTTTGCGTTCAGTTACCCGTTCGTTTTGAGGTCCTTGTCAAAGGGAATTTGGCCGATAATTTGAAATTTTATGGGAGTCATCTCAGGTAGTTGTTCTTCAAAAGTGTGTCTCCGATTTTCCTGAGTAATCTTCAGTTTTGTATAGGATAAAGCTAATTTATTGGCGTCGTAACTTTAGGAACGCATAACAAAGCGACAAAGCAAATTATCAAAAATCGCAGACACCCTTTTGGCAAGTGATATCTYGTGATCTCGGAAAGGTAGTAAACAGTAAGGTGATTTCCGATCAATACCGGCTGTCGTGGAACTCCGCGAAGAGACCTATGTGAAAGCTTGAATACTTCGCTCTAACTTTAAAATATTAATACATTTTACAAAAAGAAAGAACGAAAGAATTTCTACATTTTTTCAGCTTTTAGAAAATGTATGCTTTATATGGGTTTTTATTAAAAGGTTTTGCGCTATATACAGTTGAAAGCACACAGGCCGCTAGGGGTACCTGATACCCAAACTTATAAGTTTTAGGCCAATGGTCAATTAACGGTTAACCCCATCTACACACACTCGTTAATATGTCGCAAGATAATGTGGGCTTACCAGTTATTTTTCAATTTTATACGCGTCATCAATCCCGAAAGGGACGGAACGAGTTCCGAACAGAATAAAAGTGAAACCCTCCTCTCTCTCTCTTTCTCCCCTCTCCTCTCCTCCCTTCCCCCTCCCGTTGAATCTGAAACTCAGGCTAATCTTGCTGTGTTTTCTTTAAGTCAATGCAGATACTTGTGGAAAAGATATGGTTTTTAAAGAGACTCTGGAAGGCAAGACGCTGTCCAATCACGTCTTTAAAACCGTACGAGCCACGAACGATRCGCACTGCGAATCCCAGTGTTTCTTGGATGATCGCTGTATCTCCTATAGCTTTGGCACAAGTGCGAGTGGAGAGAAATACATGTGTGAGCTGAGTGACTCGGATCACTTTATGCATCCAGAAGATCTAGTGGACAGACCTGGTGTCATCTACAGAAGTGCTCAGGTAAAAACCTGATATTACGGTATTATGATATTCCCTTGTTTTGCACTGCGCATATTTCTGCGCATGTAACTAAAAGCGTGGAACTAACAAAGCTAAGTTAAGTTTTTCTTTCTGAAACTAAATAAGAAACATGTTAAAACCCAATTTTCACTTTTTTCTCTTTTTTGAGTAGGGTGGCTCCATCTTTTTATTACAGTTTCAAATGTCCATAACATAATTAATGTGTATGCAAAGTTACAGGAAAGTGTTATTGGTAAAATTTCTTTCAAGGGAATTACCTTAAATAAATATGAAAATACTGATTAGCAAATAGTGCAGTTTTCGTATGACTGTGAAAAGTTCACGGCACGAACACGGTCGTGACACAGCAAGGGATACGCCAGACAAATCACATTGCACGAGAATTTACACTCCATCCAATCAAATACCCGGAGCACGGCATAAACACGACGCGGACACGGTCACGCCAAGATCACGGCACTTTTAGACCAATCATATTGCGTGTGAAAAAATCAGACATTAAAATTCTAGATGAAGTATTACGGTCACGGCACGTCACGCTTACGGCACTGAGCTTTTCACAGTCATACGAAAACTGCACTAGACCACACCACACCACANGGATGTCTTTCATTGAAATCGAAAATCTGGAGATTTAGGACAAATCAAGACCAAAAAACAGACTTGAAAACTGGTTAAGGTGACTGCCTACTTTTGGAAATTGATTTAAACTTTTTTTAAAGCTTCGATTTTCCGAATTGAAATTTAATGCTGATTCCAAATTTGGAAAGAAAAATAGGGTGTCCCGAGCTCATTTTCGAGATAATCAGCATTTAATGGAAGCCTACGCACGAGCTTTTGGAGTAAAAATTGCGCCAACGGAAGTGATTAGAAAAAAATTGAGATTCATAAGATAATAGTTACTTGCAGACTATATGATTGCACGAACGAAGGCTAGTCAATCCTTCTACAATAATACATGGATATTTTCGACAAAAAGACAGATAGATACATTGATTTGTCATATTTTGTAGTTTCGGTGCTCTTAACAACTCTGATAAAGTCGAACAAAATTCCCTATAAAAATCTATTTTTTCATGTGTTACTGATTTAAACTTTTCCTAAAATGTTGATATAACCTAGATTTTTAGGAGTTTTATCGAATGAGGTATTAAAAAATAGAGAGTCCCGTGCATAATTTGAGAGTTTTGCCCTGTTGAAGCTCAAAACGCGTATGGTTCTTCAATAAAATCTTGTAGATTTTTCAGCGGTTTTTGAGCGCGCGCACATCGTGGGCTCAATTCGAAAGTGCAAAAGTAGGCAGCCACCTTAAGTTGAGCAAAAAATGAGGTTTACTTAATATATCTTTTACAGTTTTCCAAAAGCAGAGCTTACATTTATTTAA